AATCATTTCATCAAATTTAGCATACTTTTCTTCACAGTCTGAAGTTGATAAAACATCAGACCAATCGTAAGCAGTAATCCATTGACCAAAAAGTCGTAAATTGCTATCTCTAAGATCCCTTTTCAGCACAGATTTGTTCGCTTGAATAGGTGGTTTATTTAAGTAAGGTTTAATTAGGATGGTGTTATGATCACTAAGACCAAGAGGGGGCAGTTTAGAAACATCCAAGGTAGACTTCTTTGCATTAGTTAGACACCAATCCAATATAGCGTTTTCTCTAGTACCCACGCGTATTATTTGAGAGAGACCTGTTAGCCTCTTAACACGATTAACGTCGAAGCCAGTGCTGGTTGGATTGAAATCACCTGTAATCAAAACAATGGCATCGGGGTGGTCTCTAAGAAATATGTCGACGTTACTTTGGATATGATTGTATAAATCCCAGTTCTCAGATGCACCAGATGATGTCGTGTGGTATATAGCAGCCACAAGAATAATTGAGATGGATCTGGGTAGTCGTTTAGGTCTTAACGACAACCACAAGGATTCAATATTGGGGTCCTCAAACTTTTTAAGTCTCGTACAGGAGATTTCACAGCTGACATAAATACAGACACCGCCACCACTCGAAAATTCACGGTCATTACGAAATAAAAAGAAATTAGGTAATAATAAGGCGGAATCAGGTATATTCGGCGACAACCACGTTTCGGTTCAGCGAAGGTCAGAGTCATGAATTCACAGCAACGAAGAATAACTGTTCTGCAACGCCATATCCAACACCTCGTTCCTCTGGAACTTCATATGGGTCCAACATAGAACGCTGATAGTATTCCAGATCAGACTGACGTTATATATAGAGAAAAACGTCACAACCCGAATACGACCTCCAAGACGAAGAGCTGCAATTCAAGGCGAACAAAGACGAAAACAAGGAAATGAGTAGAACTCATGACAGTCTATATTATTAACTTCTTATTTTGTTATAGATTTGATCAGATGCCTGAGTGATAAACGCCGGGAGTGTAACGTATTGTGTAGCTTTTGCGTTAAGTTGTATATCACGTGCGCAGCTCGTGAAGTAAAAGTACTTAATTGATTACACACGAGTTGTTGTTGTTAATTTTCGAAAAGACAAAATAAAAGAAAGCTTTATGATTTAAACCGTTGTAAACTGAAAGAATATCAGGAAAGAATAAAACGAATCGAATTAATTGTACTCAGCTTGCAGTAACACTTCAAGCAATATCGAAACTTGTATGGAATTTTATTGAGAGAGGTCATTTATTAGTGTTTAAACCATCGAGCAATATAATAATTCCGGAAGGACTTGCTCCTAATGTTTCAGGTTAAAAAAGTGGGCAAAAAACATGCCGGATTTTTCATGCTGACGCAGCACGAAGCAGTTTGAACATGATTAATATCAAGTTTAACATCATATAAAGCTGAAAACGGATGATAATTTAGGAGCGTGTATCCTTTGTTGGTTTGAATAGTAAATATATATTTACTCTTTATGATATGAGTATAATCTACTGATCATTCTTTATTCTTACACATCAAACTGTATGTATGTATATATAATATATATATATATATATATATATATATATATATATATATATATATATATATATATAATTATATTTATCACATACTTGTGCCTTTATCAGGGCGATAACAGGGTGACATAAAAACGATATCGTCACTGATATCGCTTTTTGTCACTGATATCGCTTTTTGTCCCGCTGCATTTGCCGCTGTCAAAACAAAGATGGCTGACTCGAGCAGTTCGAGGTTTGTTTCAGCCGATGTCGATTGCTTTATAGAAGAAAAAGAAGTATGTGATAAACAGGTTATCACAATCGGGACGAGGTGATATCAGTTTTATCGCTTTCAGGACGATAACATAAATGTCCCTCGTTCGCTGCGCTCACTCGTGACATTTATGATATCGTCACTCAAGCGATAAAACTGATATCACCTCGCCCCTCATGTGATAACCTATACATATATATATATATATATATATAATATATATATATATATATATATATATATATATATATATATATATATATATATATATATATATATATATATATATACACCCATTTGCAAAAACGTTGGCCGCAGATAGATATATAGATAGATATTCGAGATCTAATTAGAATTGCATATGTTGTGTAACATTATAGAAATTCCATGCAAATGTAATCATATGCAATTCTAATTAGACTTCAAGTATCTATCTATCTATCTATCTGCGGCCAACGTTTTTGCAAATGGGTGTATATATATTATATATATATATATATATTTATATATATATATATATATATATATATAATATATATATATATATATATATATATATATATATATATATATACAGTCGTTATCAAAAAGGTTTTCCCCATCAATACATATACAAATATATAAATATCAATCACGTGAGCATTAAACATTGTTTATTTCGCTCATTTTTGTCTTGTTTCTTTATTATTATCAATATTGTTAACTTTGCAATTATATTTATGAAATTTTTAACAAAGATTTTCACGAATTTCCCATTAAACTAACGTATGCAGTAAAATCACGTGACTGATAGTTACGTATTTATATATATTTCAATATGACAACCTTTTTGATAACGACTGTATATATATATATATATATATATGTACCTATATATATAGGACCAACACAGAATATATTGTAAAAAAGGCAACCAAGCGATTACATTTTTTAAAAAATTTGAGGAGGTACGGAGCACCTATATTGAGGATCTTTTGATGTTCTACTGTACAGTTATTCGATCTGTTCTGGAGTACGGTATGCAGATATGTAGTGGTAGACTTACAAAGATGCAAAAGGATAATAGAGAGAGTTCAGAGAAGGGCTCTTAACATTATTTATCCGGAGCATACTGGTTATAAGGATTATAGCAGCAAATTGGAAACCCTGGAAGAACGTAGAAATAAAGCATGTGTATTGTTGATTAAAGATTTGATTGACCCGAATCATCGGCTTCACGAATTGTTGTCAAAACATGTGAAAAACGTTAGTGAAAAAGAAACGAGATTAAAATTTTAACAAAGATGAATTATACGTATAATTACTTCTGTAGGACAGAACTTTGCAGACATAGTCCATTAGCCCAGCCTATAGACTTGTATAATTCATTTTTATATAGGTAATTTCAGATGTACTTAGTATAGCTTAAATTTTCATTGTAGAACGTTGTAATTTAGGTTAAGCTATTGAACGTTTTTATAAACCCACTTATAATAATATTAATAAGATCAATAGGATTTTGACTAATTCCTGTTTACACGCGATATATTTATTTTGAGCTGTGACATGTCACATTTGTCGGCATAGGAAATACGAAAAATAAATTGTCGCAAGCTGCTAAATAGCCTAAAATTTACGTAGCTGAGGTGCGAGTAATAGACGTCACAAATACTAGAATTTTAACAAAATTTGGTAAAATTAAACTGCAGTTCATCACAAATCAATATAGGATCAGGCCATCCAAACACGGAAATTTAAAGTTTTAAGGAGTTTAAATTTAAATTCAGACCTTGTCGTTTTTATTTTTTTAAACAATTAAGCCTTTTCTCTCGCCTTCGGAAAAAAACGGAAACCATTAAGTAATTGTAAAGTATCTAGCTACTGTTTGTGACCAAAATGGCGTCAAAAATAGAAGTCTTGAAATGTATTTATACGCCTAATTTAGATTACTAAACTGAATCAAATCCAAATGCTAAGCAGTATAATACCGTGTATAAATAAACAATGTTCCAATTTATTGAACAGACTTGAGGAATGTTATAAAATTATATTAATACATAATATATTTTCGGAATTTGAATTTTAAATCAGTATCCACTTTTTTTCATAATATTAAATAACAAATCATAGATACAAATACTTCAAATCAGTTAAATGAATCATTGGCGTAGCCACTCAAATCACTTAAATGATCATGACCATAAACCGGCATTATTTATTTTTAGGAGTTCCAAATCATGACAGGATAAAATTTTGTAGTTTGCATAGTTTATGCACCTCAACAGCCAAACTTATCCCTATATTGACCAGCATCACACCCTCTAAAATGTAATATTTAATATCTAGTGTAATATTTCCATATTTAAAAGCCCGATTTCGACTATATTTGGGCTGAATATTCTACCTGTAATTCTGTTATTCTCCTCTAAGAATATTGAATTTGCTCTGATTTAAAACTTTGCGAATAAGTCATCAAGGAACTCTCGTTGTTCTGGCTTAGTTTAATGTATGCATACATTTTATGTCAGGACGGTCGGCATTGGATGGTTTTGTTAGTTATGCGTATGCGTGAAAGCTGAACGAGTAGAGACTGGTAATCAGTAATATCCGAAGAAATCGAATTAGACTGTAACTAGCGTTTCAGATTTCAGCTCTTTCCAGCTCTCTGATTTCCCTGATTAATGAGTAAAGCCAAGATGGCGGAAAATGAGGCCTTCCTTCTAGGTATGCGACACGCGTGTTTTTGCGTGGGTTTGCCGCGAAGGGTTAGGCTATGGAAGAAATTTTGTACTTCTTGTACGAATCTTTACGCTTTTCAGTTTCAAACAATTTTCAATGGACAGGATATTTCACGAAAAGAATGTGCATTGGACGGAATTGAACACCTAAATTTATGAATGTACAATTCAACCAGAATCAACTTGGTGTGATCATAAATGGAATGCAGCAAAATTGCCTTATTGCAAACGACCTCTTGTGAATGGCATAAGATAAAGTTTAATGCTGTGATGAATTGGGGATTGTGATATCACAATCACAGTCACAGTTCGTTGCGTATTGTAATATTGGACGTTCGCATCGCAGAATATTCCAAGCAATGTTGTTCTGTGGAACAAAGTGTACGGTTGTAACTGATCTGTTGATTTCTTTCCGCCTGCATGCATGCATGCATGAGGGTTTTATAAATTAATACAAATACTCACTCATTAAACACTGCGACGTCAGGGAACCAAAAAAGATCATGGTCAACATGAACACTGTTGATTCCGCCATACTCTGCAGGATTCCACTTTAAGTGTGGATTAAGCCATTGAAAGGTGAGCCAGAGGATCAGCCGTATTACTTGATTCTTCTCGTCCTAATTAAAAAAAAACATTTCATCCATTCATAATGGTGGGATTCAGCTTTTTACATTGATTCGACGACGTTCGACCGAATGCATGTGTTCAATTGTGTATAATGATATGTGGGAGTGATTGCAGAAAATATCTGGACTGTACAAAACCATTTTTATCAGGAATACGAAAGACGATATCTTGAACAAAATTTCTTGGTATATCACACAAATTTCTAAGATCGTGGAAAGAACACGGCCAAAACTCAACCTGCAAACTCGTTTTTTCAAAACTTAAATTTTGCAATGTTCTCAGCAGGAATTTCTGCATCATCTAGTTCAGAAACTTACCAAATTTGCTATTTGACGCAATTTAATTCCCATTTCAACATTCACAGGCTTATTAATATGAGAAGCAGGGAGAATTTGCCGGTTGACATTTGAATTATTCATGAGCAATTCCAATAGTCGTTGATGTTCTTCAAAATGATTTCCGACTGTGTCTAGTTTAAATAAATTACAAAATGTTGGAAATTGATAATTAAGAAATTACCGAAATGATCTTATAATAAGAATATACCAACTACTGGAGTCTAAATAACATAGCCAGTGGAGTCAATGTGGACTGCATGGAATGCGTAATTGTTGTAATACCAAGTAAAAGTTATATTGTGATATATATATATATATGTAAGGTGTATTTGTTCTTCTGCACAAGTATAACCAACCGGGCAAGCAGAAAATTCTACCTGACCGCGGTGGGAATCGAACCCGCGACCTTCGCATATCTAGAACGATGCTCTACCGTCTGAGCTACAAGGCCAAGTTGGGAACAACTGTGATTTTACTTAAGTTGTTATTGACAATGCGGAGTTTCGTCCTTTTACATGTCGTTATGCAGTTACTGCATAGAAATGCGAAGGTCGCGGGTTCGATTCCCACCGCGGTCAAGTAGAATTTTCTGCTTGCCCGGTTGGTTATACTTGTGCAGAAGAACAAATACACCTTAAATATATATCCACAAGTGAACACATGGCTCAATTGAGAGCAAAAGTACATATATATATTATATATTATATATATATATATATATATATATACACCCATTTGCAAAAACGTTGGCCGCAGATAGATAGATAGATACTCGAAGTCTAATTAGAATTGCATATGATTACATTTGCATGGGATTTCAATTATATTACACAACATATGCAATTCTAATTAGATTTCGGGTATCTATCTATATATCTATCTGCGGCCAACGTTTTTGCAAACGGGTGTATATATATATATATATATATATATATATATATATATATATATATATATATATATATATATATAAATATATATATATATATCCTTTAAAGTTGATATTGTAGATCTTATGGTCTCCAAATACATTGCCAATCATCCAACCATGCGTCATTGTCAGTATTTTATAAATCCTAAACTCTACAGAGTATTACAAGCTATTGTAGCATCATCATATTGATTGAAAACCTTCTCAAGATTACTCGTTACTTTTTACTACGAAGAATACAACTACTAAATTCTAATGCCTTATTGAGATTAAAATCTGTATACTTTTTATATTTTTTTCTGTATAGGCCCTACAATCATTTTATGAGAGAAGGTCCAATAAAATCGAGCATCAGCCGGTCACGCTTAAAATTTCAATTTTGCTCATTTTTTGCTTCCTTAGAGGCATTACCAAGTAAGCAAACGTGCATGGTATAGCCAAAATTCTGAAAAATCCGAGTAAAAACGTTTGGCTGTCGGCGACTTTGAAATTTTGCAAATTTTCAGTGGAATCAAAATGTTCAAAAGCAAATAGCGCATGCAAAGCAGAAAAATATATTTAAATGGTCCGCTTGTAGATCCGTAGAAGAGCTGTTTGAGACTTGATTAGGCATAAAATACTTATTTTAGCTATTTATTAAAATTAGACCCCTGCATGATAATTATTTGAAATCATATTGTATTCACACATAGCGAAACGTAAAATCTACCGTCGGCATAAAAAGCATTTTAAATAAGTGCCCCAGATTTTTTCTTCAAGAGACTTACGCTATATCAATTATATAAGAAGATGCTTTTCTAGAACGTATGGAAAAATAATTTTGGTTATTGTATTTAGAGTTCGTACGGGGGGAGGTGAATAATTATATTGCGTACCTTTGACATGCATAATTATAGCGTAACCGAAATTGACAAGTGTCATCAGGAAAGCAATCCTAAATTGCATCAGTTTTCTTAAAAAAGCTACTATTAGCTATGTAGTAATTTACATAGTCCTACTTTTAGCAGTACAGCATTTTTAGGTAGTTGCTCTTGGAGTTATAGCTGTCAGTGCTATTATCGGGTTAATTCTAGCTCTTATCGACTTATTTCTGCAAAATAGAGAATTTGCAATAAAATTTTAAGGTTGCATTTGCTCATTACGTTTTTATGTTGTATCTTAACTATGAACAATTTGTAATGAGAAATAAACTATGAGGTATGAAAGATCTCCAGTTTGTCATAATTGACACCCGGTGATGTAAATCGAAACTTTAATACCGCATGTTTAAAAATAAGTTTGCACAAGGTCTGCCCGTCATGCATATGAAGTGCTCTTTTTCGCACGCTAGCCGGATGACCTTCTCAGCTCTTGGGACTTGGATTGCAGTTAATAGTTTACTAAATGGCAAGCACAATACATATTTTTATAGATTTGGAGGTTTTACTACAACATATTTTTTTTACTTCATGCTTGACTTTATGCAACAGAGTGTCTTGAATTATTAGCGCACACTACTTAGTATAATGATCTCACTCCTTGCTCCGATTTTTATAACTGTATATTTTGTTTCTCTATATTATATATATTACTTAATTATCTATAAATAGCAGTTATGTATATTACATCAGCCTTTTTTTTTTTTTTTAACAATATTAACATTTAACAAAACATAATTCAATCATATACTGAATGTCCAAATCTATCAGGTTTTCCTCTGACTCGGCTCGATCGTCGTGTCGGTATTTGATCTTGATGTCCAACATTTGTTGCTGCTGGTAGTGTGATGGTATTGTTCCTCTTTTGATGACGTTCTTTCTCATTATCGTCATCACTGTCCGTATCATCCCTTGGCTTTGGTATGCGTTTAAACTGAGACACATTTCGTGTGATAACGTGTCCGTTCTTGCTTCTTGCTTTAACCTGTGAATGCGATCTGTGTGTGACTACGTATGGAACGTTGTTGTAATTCGCAGTCAATTTGTTCTGCTTGTCCTGACGAACTAAGACATAGTCTCCTATCTTAATTTCACTCTCTTTTACGATTCTTCTTTCAATGTGAGCGGTTCGTAGCGTTTTTCCAAGGGGCTGCATGAATCTTTCCGCTTCTGCATTGCCCTGGGGCCATTTAGGTGTTGAAAAAATATCTTTAATTCCAAGAGCTGTCAAATAATGATTATATTCTGCACTATTGAAAGGCAGTCCATTGTCTGTCTTGATAGTTGTTGGGATGCCATGACGGGCGAACATTTGATCTAATTTGGGTATGACCACAGAAGCTTTTGTCGAGCGTACTACTTCCACTTCGGGATATCTGGAATAGCGATCAATTGCGACCAGAAGGTATTCTCCCGAAGGAAGCGGTCCGTAGAAATCCAAATGTATCGTTTCCCATGGTCCCTTTGGCATTGTTGTCGTTGATATTGGCTCTTGTGGTGGTGCTTTACCCACTGCCTGACAAGGAATGCACTTCTCGATTGTTGCTTGTACCATTTTATCAATATTCGGAAACCAAATCTTTTCTCGGATTAATGATTTCGTTTTGGTAATGCCAAGATGGGTTTCGTGCGCAATGTCAATCGCACGTTGCTGTAGCGATTCTGGTATCACTATACGAGAACCACGAAGAACCACGCCCTTTGTTGTCACAGTAAGTTCGTCTTTTACTTGTTTATAAGGCTTGACTACCTCGTAGTGCCACTTGTTGAGCTTTATAGCTGCCCGAACTCCTCGTAAGGTTTTGTCCTTGTTCGTTGCTTCTTCGATTTCCTCTATCGTCAGTGCTTTCGGAACACTGGAGCGAGCAATAAAGTTTATGTGCTCCTCTGTCATTTTCTGCTGTTTGTAGCTTTTTCCTGTTGGGTGGCGCGATAGATAATCAGCCGGATTGTTAGCTCCTGGCTTGTATCTTACTTGAAAAGCATAAGGTTGTAAGCGTAACACCCAACGTTCTATTCTTGCTGATGTTTTGGAGTTTCTGTTGCCATAGATTACTTCTAGTGGTTTATGGTCTGTGATTAGAACGAATTCGTTTCCGTACAGGTATAGATGAAAATGTTCCACTCCCCAAATAATAGCCAGCGCCTCTCTCTCGGTTTGGGAGTATCTTTGTTCGACTTCTGTTAATGCTCTACTCGCATATGCCACTACTTTCTCGTCGTCTTTTCCTTTGTTTCTCTGCGAAAGGATTGCTGATATGCCGACTGGACTCGCATCAACCGTTACCAGTGTCTCTTTATTTTTGTCAAAATATGCCATGCACGATGCTGAAGCTAAGGTGGAAGTTAACGTGTTGTATGCGTTCTGATGAATGTCGGTCCACACGAAAGGTGTATTTTTCTTCGTTAATTGGCGCAATGGAGCTGTAATGGTTGCAAATTTCGGAATATACTTGGCACTGTAGTTTGCCATGCCGAGGAGACTTCTTACTTCAGAAATGGTTTTGGGTACCGGCGCGTTCTTTAAAGCTTCTACACGTTTGGGGTCAGGTTTGCTGCCGTCTTTGGAAAATACTTGTCCGAAAAATTCCAGTTTGTCATTCAAGAAGCTACACTTAGCTTGATTCAAGCGTAGTCCTTTGTCGGAGATTCGTTTTAGACATTTATTCAAGTTTGTGTTATGTTCTTTCTGTGTTTTGCCATATACTAAAATGTCATCAGCTATATTCTTTACTCCGACTAATCCTTGCAATTGGGTTTGTAAAGTGTACTGGAAAATCTCAGCAGCTGCATTGGTGCCATAGTTCAGCCTTTTGTATCTGAAAAGACCGATGTGTGTACTGAATGTAGTAATGTAACGACTGTCCTCGTGTAGTTCTAGCTGATGATAGGCCTGTGTAAGGTCTAATTTGGAAAAACACGTTGCTCCATTTAACTCAAAGCTGATGTCCTCAACTGTTGGAATAGGGTGTCGTACCCGTTTTATAGCTTCGTTGGCAGCGCGCATATCGACGCATATACGAACGTCCCCGTTCTTTTTCGGTACTGCTACAATTGGCGATACCCAAGGTGTAGGTTGGTTTTCTGGTACCCGTTCAATAATATCGTCTTTCTCTAGTTGTTCTATCGCGTTCTGGACCTTCTGACGTATGTGATAGGGAATTCGGCGTTGTGGCTGTGCTCGGGGTGTTGTTGTTTTATCAACGTTTAATTTGATTTTCTCTTGCTTGAGTTTACCCAACCCGTGGAAAACTTTTGAATGTTTGTTTAGAATATTTTGGAG